CTACATGTCCTATTTGTATATTTGTGTCCATCTGTCCCTACATGTCCAGTTGACATGTTTTTATTGTTTGGGGTGAGGTGTGTCTTGTTTCCTGGTACATCAGTGAAATCTGGTTGCTGCTATAGGAGTTTATTATAAAACAGTTCCAGCCACGTTAAGGACCAACTTTCATGATTTAAATTGGATTCATTTCCATAGAGTTCCATGGAAACAGTCCAACTTTGGTTTGTGTGAATCAATCTTTATATTTGACCCAACAGAACCAGCAGGTCTGAACACCGTCGGGTTCAGTCCACACAGTTTTAGGATATCTTCTCGTTTTTCTGAAAGTTGGTCTTTAGAGTAAAATGTTACGATTTCCATTAAAACTTTGGTTCTTAATTAAGTGAAGACGTGAAGACGTGAGGGAATCAGTTCAGCTGAAGAGAAAATTCTCCCTCGTTAACGAGAATATTAGTTTCAGTCCTCTCTGTGGTGTTGGACGGATGTGTGGACAATAACGTGCATGTGTGTGTGTGTGTGTGTGGGGGGGGGGGGGGGTTGTCACTTCTGTAACTTGAGCAAGAATCTGGTTTTTAACAGTTCAAAACAGTTTAATTGGACAAGTTGTTGAAAGAAGTTTAATAGTTCAACAATTAGAGCTTCAACATGGAGGTTTATTAAAGATCACTCCTGCCCTCCGGTGGTAAAAACACAAACTGCAGTTTGAATATTTATTTACTTATTTTCAGCCGGTCTTATGTTTAATTAAATTTTTTTATTTCTGTCATATTGAGGCAGTAGTGAAGAGACGAGTCGATATTGAAACCTGGACATGAAGCAGGGAGGACTTTTAGCTGTTATTGTTCCTTCCGTTTGTTTTTGCTCCATAACCAAGGCCAGACTTTAAAAAGGTCTTACCTGGGCTGCATTCAGGGCCCTGAGGGTTCGGGGGTCTTAAATATAATATTCCCCATGAAGGAACGTTACCTTGTCATGGTCAGGGAGCTTGTGTACCTCAGTGACCCGTAGAGCTACGCCGGTGGGTGCTTACAGGTCAAAGGGTAGAGAAGATCAGACAAAAACTGATCCTCTGGCCCTCCAAGTTGGGGGTTGAATAATGAAGTCCAGTCCCATAAAATAATTTTGTTATGGAAACAGCAGGGAGGAGCCAAAACAATTGAATGCAACGGGCTTCCAGCGATATCCGAAGACTCGGATGAATGACAGTGAAGGCCGGCAGGTAACCTCCGACAAGAAGATGGAAGTCCTGAGCACCGAATTAAAAACCAGGATTGGTATTTGGAAAGAAAGGCGGTCTAATCTGCAGATTCTAGGAATTAGTGAGCGAAGACGAACGGGGTTTGGTAGACTCGGAACTAGTACAGGAGAGACTGTATCAACACCATGACAGGGTGGCCATTACTCCCCGGAAAGAAACAGAGGAAGCCTTTATGGTGTACAAACCTGCCAACCATGCAGTGTTCAGCCCCAACAAACAACAAAATGACTATCAATGGATGCATGTTACGTCAGAGGCAGAGCTAAGGGGTGGCCAAGGGTGGCCTTGGCCATCATAAATGTAATTCTGCGGCAGCAGCAGGGTGGGTGGTCACAAACAGTTCTCCACCCAAACAGGTGGCGGCGGTAAGACACTCAGCATGAACGTCGACCGCCAACACAAGCAGAGAAGAAGAGTAACACGTCAAAGAGTGAATGAAGACTGGAGGGGTAGAGCTAAAATGAAAGACGAGCACATCTTCATCCTAACATGGGTCCAGTCCTCCAACAGGGAGTTACATTATCGTTAGCAGAAGCTCGAACAAAAACACTTTGTCTTTTTGGAGATGGCACCAGTACTTTATACTACGGTATGTAAAGCATCTCTGTTTAGTTGGAACAATAGACATTATTTGATCATTTCAGTAGCTTCTTTTTAATTTGGCTGTTCCCTTTTCAGGGGTCTCCAAAGTGAGTCATACTCCTCCATCTCACTCTGTCCTCCATGTCCTCTGTCCTCACTCCAACTACCTTCATGTCCTTTTTAACTGTATCTATATATCTCTTGTCTTTTTCCTGTCAGTTTCATTTCAAACATTCTTCTACCAATATACCCACTGTCCCTCCTCAGGACATGTCCAAACCACTGTCCCTCCTCTGGACATGTTTAAACCACTGTCCCTCCTCTGGACATGTTCAAACCACTGTCCCTCCTCTGGACATGTCCAAACCACTGTCCCTCCTCTGGACATGTTCAAACCACT